AAAAAAAAAAAAAAATAAATAAATAAATAAAAATAAAAAAAATAAAAATTCCAAACAGCTGCATGTGGTGGCTCAAACCCGTAATCCCAGCTACTCCAGAAACTGAGGCAGGAGGATCATAAATTCAAACAGAGCAAGTTTAAGGCCAGCCCAGGGAATTTAGTGAGACCTTGTCTCAAAGACTTTGCTTTAAAAGTAAGACTGACAATGACAGTGTAGCTCAGTCAGTGATAGAGCACTTCCCCAGTGTAGGCAAAGGCTTGGGTTCAGTGTTCAGTGCCAATAAATAAGTAAATACCAAAATCTCCAGAAAGGTCCTATCATATACTATGTACATTATGTATGCATGTTTCATTTATTCCTCACAAACCTGTCACTACCTACTGCGTGCTAAGTGTCGGTCTTAAGAATCAGACAGATCCCTATTTTGTCTTTTACCACATAGAACTTATGCTCTACATCCTTTCCTTCTGTTTCTATTTCATTATCTAGAAATAACAGTAACAGTTATAGGTTTGATTTCTTAACTGTTCTAATACTTGCATTTATTTAATCCTCACAATGACCCTATAAAGTAGGGATAGTCAGTTATAATTCCCATTCCACAGATGGGGAAAACTGAGGCATTGAGGCTGGATCATTTACCCAAAACACACATCTGTTAATGGTGTAGAGGGATTTAAAGCCATCCAGTCTGGCTTCAGAGTCTCTGTCTCCTCCTCCTCCCTCCCCCTTCTTGTCACCTGTGAGATAGACACCTTAGCAAATACAGACTGCCTTAAGCTAGATAATAGTTCATAAGCCATGCAGTTTCTGAAGTTCACACAGAGTTGGCATAAAGCCTCCTTCCCTGCTTTCCAACTGTGTATCACTGTGCTGATTCCCATTTTCATTTGATTTTTATGAACCAATAGTTTTAATACAAAGGTGGTTCCGAATTCCCCACCCTTTGGCAGTACATCAGATGGAGTTCCCAAAGGTGCCTTTTGCCCCAACTCTCCCCACTTTTCTCTAAAACACTTTTTTTGGAGTTTTTGAAACAGGGTTTTTCTGTGTAGCCCTGGCTGTCCTGGAACTCCCTCTGTAGACCAAGCTGGCCTTGAACTCAGAGATTTGCCTGCTTCTGCCTCCTGAGTGCTGGATTACAGGTGTGTATCACTACCACCCAGCTTCTCTAAAACTACTTCACTATTCACTGTTATTCATTTCATCACCATGTATATGGGCAGAATTGCAGCTAGAAGCTTGATTATGATCTTCACTCACACAGTGGCATATAATTGGCATTTTTTTGTCCCCAGTCAAAAGCTCAAATGAAGTCACAAGGCATTAATTTGGTTTTTCTCAGTTGAGACTTCCTATTCCAGCTTCATGATGTCTGAGAGTCTATACCACTCTGTCTACTGAACAGAGCATGGCTCCTGGTTCTGGTAGAGCTTGACAGTGACTCCAGCACTTTTTGTCCTTTGGTGCATGTTGGGATCTGTACCATGAGGATTGATGCTGTGGAGATAGGCACTGCTTTCTTATGTAACCTAGTTGAGTGGAGTTGGCGGATGGAACTGGCTCTATCCATGTGGTCCTGTAGTCACTGAGCATCCGTCTTGTAGGTTGCTGTGCCCAAGGTCTTGCTGAAGGTGCTGCTCCGAGCTGTGGTGGTGCAGCTACATGGCTGTTTATGTGCCTCTTGGCTTGATTTGCAGCCATGCACTCCTGATTAAGAAGCATAGGTAAATGGGGTGATATTTAAGCCACCAGTTTTTTTTTTTTTTTTTTTGGTTTTTCGAGACAGGGTTTCTCTATGTAGCTTTGTGCCTTTCCTGGAACTCACTTGGTAGCCCAGGCTGGCCTCAAACTCACAGAGATCCGCCTGCCTCTGCCTCCCGAGTGCTGAGATTAAAGGCGTGCGCCACCACCGCCCGGCTTAAGCTACCAGTCTTAACACTTAGCTTGTTTTCATCTGTTGTCTGTTAAATAACACAACAGTGAACATCTTTGTGGTTAAATCTTTGTCTTTATTTCACCCCCCCCACCCTAAACCTCTGGCAGTACTAGGGAATCAAACCTAGAATCTGTCTCTTAGAGTTGTGGCGTGCATGTGTGCGTGTGTGTGTGTGTGTGTGTGTGTGTGTGTGTGTGTGTGTGTGTGTGTGTTTATATGATTATGTTTGTGTGCACATATGTGCCACAGTGCATGTATAGAGGCCAGAGAACTTTTGGTTCTATTCTGGCCTTTGACTTCACTGAGGAAGGTCTCTCTTATTTCAGTTTTTGTGCTGTGTACTCCAGGCTACCTGGCTGGAAAGCTTCCAGACAGTTCTCCTGTCTCCCCCACCCCCCACATCTTGCTGTAGGAATGATGGAATTACAGATGTGCACCACATTTGGTGTTTTACATGCGTTTTGGGAACTGAACTTGGGTTGTCAGGCCTTTGAGGCAAATGCTTACATGTGCTGAGCCATCTCCACAGCCAAGCCCAGGACCGTGTGCATGCCAAATTAGCACTCTAGCACTCACACACACCACCACTGAGCTACACTCCTAGTCCAGAAGTCGAATTTTAGGGTCAAAGTATATTTTTAAGGTGGAATATGCAGTAATGTGGACACTAGGTGTCTTAGTTAGGGTTTCTATTGCTGTGATGAAACACCATGACCAAAAATCAAGTTGGGGAGGAAAGGGTTTATTTGGCTTACACTTCCACATCACAGTTCATCACTGAAGGAAATCAGGACAGGAACTCAAATGGCAAGATCCTGGAGGCAGGAGCTGATACAAAGGTCACGAAGGGGTGCTGCTCACTGGCTTGCTTCCCAGGGCTTGCTCAGCCTTCTTCTAGAATCCAGGACCCAGGCTGGGCCCTCCCCCATTGATCACTAATCGAAAAAAATGCCTTACAGCTGTATCTCAAGGGGGCATTTCCTGAGCTGAGGCTCCTTCCTCTGATGACTCTGTAGTTTGTATCAGGTTGACTCACCAAACCACCCAGTACAGTAGGGTAAGAAACTCTGCAGGTGGCTCTGGGGACGTGACTCGTTTGATAGAGTGCTTCCTTTGCATGCACAAAGCCCTGGGTTTGATCCCCAGTACCTCATAAAAATTGGGCATAAAGGCTGGGGAAATGGCTCAGTGGGTACAGTTCTCCTTGTAAGCAGGAGAACCTGAGTTCGGAACCTCAGCAGCATGTAAAGAGCTGGGCATGGTGGTGTGCTCTTGTGATCTTAGCATTGGGTAAGCAGGGACAAGAGAATTGCTGCAGGGATTTCTACGAGAAGACAAGAAAATCTAAATTGTTCCTTGGAGTCTGGTCCTTTCTGACTCTGTTGGAGACTACAGAGGTTTCCTCTACACTCTTGCCATGGATATATGCTTCTGAAGTTCATCACTCAGTGTTGATTCCATTCTTGTGTCTTCACAGGGAAGCTTTATGGTGATGTTCCTTATATTGAAGAAAGACACAGACATCGTTATGAGGTACATCTTTCATCTGAATTGCTGAGGGATGTGGGTACTTGGTGCAATGAAACCCAGCAATTGTAAGTGGGCCCTTTGGGGAAAGTGTCCAGCTTCGTAACATCTGTAGGTAAGGCTGCTAAATTTCCCTAGCATCTCTCACTTTTAGAGGAAGCTGTTGTGATAAAAGAGTAGATGATGGCAGAGCATCACAGAACCTGAATACAAATAAACAGACACAGCAAAAAGACTACCCTAGACCCAAACCAGCTCACCATTCCTCCTTAACCTCTGCCTCTTGTTTCTCAGGTTTGAGAAAGGTAGGTAACCTCCAGCAAGGAGCTAAATGCTTCCGGCCCAGGAAGGAGTTTCTGGATCTTGTATGGTGCATTGGAGCTCTCAAGAACCTCTTCCGATGCTCACATTGAGCTTGAGGCTTAGTGTGCTATGCCGAAGAGGAGTTAACAGCTGAGCAGGCAGCAGGCAAAGCATGGCATGTAGAACTGTGGATGGTCATTCTGGGATTAGTCAGCCAATCATGATGGGTTTGGCTTGGAAGACTAGGAATCTCTGCTTGTTGTTGATTCAAACCAATTGAACAATAAAGACATTTATTAGCTAGGTCACAGGCAGACTGGAAACATGGTACAACCAGGACTCCTGTTGTCTCCATGGTTCTCTTGGCCTCCCTTTTCTGTCTGATTTGCCCAGAGTGGTCTGTCTCATCATTGTAAGATGGTTGCCAACAGCAACAGAAGTATCACAGAACTTTCCTTTAGTATGATTTTTTTGTTTGTCTTTTAGTTTTTTTTTTTTTTTTGAGACAGGATCTTACCATGTAACTCTGGCTGGCCTAGAACTCCTATGTAAACTAGGCTGGCCTCAAATTCACAGAGATCTGCCTGCTTCTTTCTCCTAGGTGTTGGGATTAAAGGCTTGTGCCACCAATCATTTTTTTGAGACACAGTTTCATGTATCCTAGGTTGGTCTTGAACTTCATATGTACATGAGGATGACCTTGAACTCTTGATCATCCAATGCTTACCTCCCCAGTGCTAAGACCACGCCCAGTTTTACGTGGTGCTGGGGATTGAATTACCTTCTTGCATGTTAGGCAAGCACTCTACCAACTGAGCTACATCCTCAGTCCTAATTGGGTTAACTTCAATTATCTGTCAGTCTGTGAATTTGTACCATTGCTAGTGCCATACTGATCATTGATAGCCAAGAGGAATGGGTGGCTTAGTCACTGTTCTGTTGCTGTGAAGAGACATCATGACCGAGGCAACTCTTACCAAAGAAAGCATTTAATTGGGGATTTGTTTACAGTTTCAGAGGTTTGGTCCATTATCATCATGGTGAGGGCATGGTGGCATATATGGAGCTGGAGCAGTAGCTGAAAGCTACATCCTGATCTACAGGCAGAGAGAGAGAGAGAGAGAGAGAGAGAGACAGAGACAGAGACAGAGACAGAGACAGAGAGAGACAGAGATGCTTGCCTGGTGTGGACTTTTTTTTTTTTT